GAGTATCGGTAAACGTTTGCGGTTAAATGCAAAACTGACACTACGTCGGTATATCGTTGTAATGCTGGTTCACTTTGTTGCGACCGTGCCACGCGCATCCTTCTGTCGCGGGCACGTATCGTTAAGATAAGCCAGCCAAAGGGAGAGATAACGATGATAGGTATGTGACACGCGTCCCGTCTCGTATCCCAACGACACGTTTCGCGTTTCGTGTCGCATGTCCGTAACGAAATGACTTAACAACGTCGCATGAAGGAGAGGACAGCTACCATGCTTCGTCTAATTACGATAATAAACGCGTGGCGGAATAACGCTTAGTTAATTTTTTTTCCTATGACGTTCTGCCAGACAGAACGTCTTCAGTGTTCGAACTTCCTGTCCTCCTCCGTATATATATACGTGTCTCTTTCAAAATAATAAATAAATATATAAAATCAGTGTTTTTCAGTGCTTTTTATGTATGTAAAAAACCATTGAAATTGGTTTTACGCGATTTAATGACAAACGCAACGAAGTGCGCATTGATGAGCAAGACGTTCATTTTATTTTTTTCTCTGATGCGCAAATCCCTCGCATACTCGAAACCAATTTCCCCGACCGCGCCTCGCGGCAAGATGACATCTCTCGCTTACCGAATAATAAATGAAAGAGAACGTTTCAATTAGGTGGTTCTCTTCTCACAGCGTGATGTCCCTTTCTCCCGTGGCCAGGGACCACCCCTAACGCGCGCTCCGGAGCTTCGACTCATCGAAGCTTGGGGTCCCCGGAGGTGTGCTCACACACGCCAAAGCGCGCGCGTATATACTTTGCGTTATAAAGAGGCGTCCTCATGACGAATGAGGACATTATGCGCGCGCGGCGTTAGGTGTCTACTGTTGCTTAGAAGAAACTTAGACCCCTACGGCTCATTCACCGTGCGGTGTCTTTCTCCGCACGGTATCTTCTTCCTTTCCCCCTCCCCCCCCCGCCTTCCGATAAAAATAAAGATTTCTTTCCTGCGTACAGACGCGCACGTGTGTTTCGTCTGCAAAGTTAACACTTTTCAATCACACACCGAGACCGAAAGCGCGACTGCTTGAATTTATAAAACTGTTTAACCGACGAAAAAAGATAAGTTCGATTACTTTGGCTCGCGAGTTTATCGAGTTGCGATCAAACTCGTTAGAATGTTACGCCGCTAACTCGCAAGTCGATCGATCATGACGGGGAGCGCGAGAAGAGACGAAAAGCAAGTGAAACGAGAGATCCCGCGGGAGGAGAGGCCTCGCAGAAGATATGCAACGTGTCCGTCCGCAGGTCCCAAAACAGGTAGCTCGCTCTTCGTAGTCTTCTCTCTCTCTCTCTCTCTCTTTTTCTCGCGGGCGATCTCTTCTTCGGACGCCCGGTTTCGCGCGACTATTTTTCACTCGTCCAGTTTTTAATGGGCGGGATTAATATCGCCGGGTAACAGGACACTCTCTCCTTTTTCCAAAGGAAGCGTCCGTGTGGATGAGCCGGACACACACGGGAGAGCGCAAAAAAATAAAAGGATTACAGATGCGGCGCGTCCGTTCGCGGCGGCAATAAGTCCGATTGTGTTCGGGCGAGCGGACAAATTATCCGGTATTATACCGGCGTCTCAGTCTATCAATTACGAGGAGGAGGTCTGGATGTGAGGCCGTGCCTTCGCTCACGCGCATGCACAAACACGCATCCGTTGTTGAACGTGTGTTTAAATGCGTATATATATACGCGAGAGCGAGCTTCTGGAAGAACGGGGGCCCCCGGCAGCCACCAACACGCCCGCGGTCTATTTCATTGATCATCCAGTCAGTCGCTTCCAAGTACCGCGTGACCAGATCTCTGCCTCTTCTCGGAAGCAGATCCTCTCGCGCGCGGATCTCTCGTTTTTCTGAATAGACGCACAGAAACGAGTTTTAATCCGCGTAACGAGAGTACACGCAACAGAGATTTATTCAGGAATTTGCCGTTTGTAAATTTTCTATTCATTGCTGCCGCTTTGTTTTTTTTGTTTTTTTTTGTAACGTTTCACGTCGAAATTCAGAGTGAAATGCGCGATTGGCGATGGCAAAAAAATGTAAACGATTATTCGAAGTGCGTGACGCGCACAGTCGATATCGCATGTTTAAATTGTAAATTATATCGGTAATTGCATTATACCACGATGCGTGTGTGTTAACACGCGCGTTTGCTAGAATTTCGACTATCGTGCACTTTCCCGCCTCTCAATAATGAATTATTAGGCAGGCGCTCTCGATATTCATTGCGCAGGCATTCGAGCTGAATTTCACCCAGACTTTTCCGCTGTTTTTTTTTTTACCGTAGAAACATTTTCCCCATCAAGCTCAGGGTCGGATGGATCAGAATAGATTGAATTAGGACAGAGGTATACCTATTCATTCCGACTTACCACACACACACACACACACACACACACACAACACACACACAGAGACGTGCGGATTCTGCATAATTTTCCGGCGATTTTCAAAGTGTCCGATCGTAATAAACATCGTACCTTGCGGCCGCACTGTTGACATGCGGTCTGACTTATGTCTCTCTCTCTCTCTTTCTTTTCTTTTGACTATGTCGGCTCTCTTCTCTTCTTTTGGAGCAGGTCCACATCTGACCTGACGCTCGATCGCGACTGAAACTCACACAAACGATCGGATAGCCCATCTAGTTTTCCGAGAAGCGCAGGAAAATATTTTGTGCGGCAGTCTCTCTGGAATACCAATGCAAAACTTGAGCTCATTATATGCTAATTTGTAATTTTCATTTACGAAATATACATACAGAAAAAAATGTAAAATATTAGGTCTACCGGAAAGTTCTGTCTGTTTTTGGAATAAAACAAAATACAAATTTTTCTTAATTTTTCAAAAATAGGATATACAAATTGCTCTCACGCTGGCAAGAAATCATTAATATAATAATGGCAATTATATTATTTAATAAAGTTTATTGACGGTAAGAAAAATTTGTATTTTGTTTTATTCCAAAAACGGACAGAACTTTTTCCGGTAGACCTAATATTTACTTCTTTATTAAAAGAAGACGTTATTTTTATAACACTTTAGAATCACTTTCTTCAGCGTATGATTTCGCTAGTCAACGATCTATTTTATTCAGACTGACTACCTCGATCTCTCGGATCGAGAAACGAATCAGAAATTCACTTCCGAATGATATCGCGCAGTCTCTTCATTCAAAGATTCCTCTCAAGATGCGCAACAAACTATTTATCTTTCTCTCAATAATTTAATGCACTCTCCGGTTATAATGGACTCGGGAGTATAATGCGCCGCGCCACCTTTTTCCCATGGTTCCTTATAACACGGACCTCCTTAAGAATAAGACGTTGACACATGAAGGGGCCCCGCGCGCGCACTATATATATATCGTGATATAATATATGACGGGTGTATAACTTTATACAATATAAAGAATCTGTTATGGATTATGGCGCTTCGCGATCTATACGGGATCGCTTACATTTCTATCGGATCTTTATGAAACTATCCATTTATCCACACGGACTTTTCGGGCCGAACAAACTCTTTTAAAAAGTAATAAGGAACTCGTGAACGGAGGAAAAAAAAAAAAAAAATATATATATATATATATATCTTATTAGCAAAACTTATCTTCTCTTAATATTTAAAAAAGTATTATAAGAGTGTTTCTCTCTTATGAAAGATTCGTTATTCTGATTCAGCGTCCTCGTACAAAAGGATAGTGCGCGACGTACACAGGACTCGAAACCGAAGGGGACGTGTCGTGTAAACTGGGTAATTTATAATTTTTCTTCCCCTTCCGCGTTTATACTTACCATCGTTCTCGCAGTCATCGAGAGGGCAAGGAGAGATCGTAGTGAAAGTAGTGCAGCGCTGCGATAAGGAACGCAATCCGATGCGCGTGTCAGATAAGTGGCTGATGCCTTTAGTATAGGGAACGGTGTTTCAGCCATAGGTTAAAACACACTCTCTCTCTCTCTCTCTCTATCGAGGGGTCGCGGTAACACCCTCACTTAGGCCGTTCGACTAAGCAAAACCCTCGACGCAGATCGAATTATGCCGAGGGAGATGAAAAGTCATTCGTTAGCCAAATGGCGAGATTAAGCCGACTCCGAGTCATTAGTTGGTCAGTTTTGGTCGTACGCGTACATCGTAGTCATGTCAATGTTCAAGATCATGTCGAGATCAAGATATTTATTGAATAATCGTTAAATTCCAATTTGTAACATTCGAACAACAAGATTTTGATTCTCATATACATAATGCAAATCTCAAAATTTTCATCATTAATCATCTTCATCTTAATGACTTTTTCTTTGTATATTCTAAAAAATCTTCCACAAGTTGTGAATTCAATCAAAACACACTCATGAGAGCTTTTCATTGCACAAAATACAAAGATATCGAGCAAGAATGTGAAAAAGAACGACATTGTGGACACAACAAGAGGACGAAGAGAATGAGGGTCGTATGATGCGCGTTCCCATGGATCTGTTTGGGCCCACCCATGGTTTTTTCACGATGCATCGGGGCCGTATTCAGACGGGGGACATACCCGGGCCAGAAAGAAACGGATAGAGTCTTTCGTTCCTTCTGACAGCGGGGGCCTCGCGCGCAACCTGGCAGATATAAACGTATAATTCTTTCGCGCTTCGCACTCTTTGTTCCCCCCCAAACTATGGATTGCGCCATTGTCGCGCGTCGTGCACCCCCGCTCACCGTTCGCCACCTCGCTCCTCGGGGTTTGTTGGAAAGAGAAGTAGTGCTTTATTTCCGAGACGACGCCGTGAATGCGTCCGCAACATCGGAGAGAGCTTTACTCGTTAACTCGCGCCTTTGTGAAAACGCTGCACTTGACTTTCCGGGTCCGCACAATACGAATAGCGATAGTAAGAGCTGAGTTCGTCACGGGAGTTTTTTTTAAGTGCAAAGCATTCCGAATAAGAGAAAAAAAATTTATAAAAAAAAGAAAGTGCGTTGAACCTTCTTTGATCAATTTTTTCCGATCCCAACAGTTACAGCAGAAATGGAAGGCACACGTGACGAAGTATAAGGTACATTTGCAATGTAAAAGATAAAATGCATGAATTTAAATCTTCTTTACGTATGTCGCTCCGTTGATTTCGCGATGATGATACGAACCGACTATTATTAATCACCGAGTCAAGTCTCTTCATTATAATGGAAACCCGGGTCATCACTCAATTATAACGAGGTTCTTACGGCAGCGGCGACATCTTGTAATCTGCAGTTCTCTGATGAGCGCCATCAGACATTAAGCGCAATACCGGTGGGAGGGTACGTTGAAGTCACTTGATCTTCTTCGTGGCAAGTCGCACAGACGATAGGCCACGCTCCTTAAAGCGATGAGAAGCCATTATGCGACAGACATCTAATAATCAACGAATTAATTACGGTTAATTATTTTGCGCGAGATGTTAATCATCGCGCTCTGCCTCGGTCGACTTCCTCGATTCTCATCGCAATTAATTCCGAAATTGCGCAGATGGCGCGATAGAGTTTTTGCGCAAAAGTAGGTACAACACGCGTTTATCCTTAATTGCCTGCGAAACGGTAATTATCCTCACGAAAAATCCTGGCAACCTCGCGATTGACCGGCGGAAAAATCATCGCAATGACAACATGGTAATAGTCCGACGCATTTGTCACGCGTCGGTTTTATTAACTCGATCGTCATGGCGATCGCGAGAAACGACCGGGTTTTCTTTCTTGCGCACGAGCATGCGAAATGCAGTCGACGCCACCTGCCCCGCGCGAACAATCTAGATCGCCGGTAGCTGCATCGTAAAGCCACGTTTTTATGGTGAGAAGATACAACGCGATTGATACGAGGCGACGTTTTACGCGCCGGTTCACACGCCTCCTCGATTCGAGGTTGCACATCCCCTTGCACCATTATATCACATGTCTCCCATTCGTCGTCGTCGCCGATGTCGCGTCTTTCGAGCATATACGATCCGACATAGAGCGACGGATAATTGAAATAGCCCGTGATACGATGCTCGGCAATCAGAAGGTCGCATGTTTGCAGCCACGCGACGACAATCGCCAACGACGCCCTTTCTGCATCCGATCGAGCGCGATAGAGAGAAAGAGAGAGAGAGAGAGAGAGCAACGCGGACATTGGGATAACGAGAAATCGGACGCGCCCCGCGTATTCGTAATGTCCTACCTTGGATAATTTTATTGACGACGAGCAATAGGAAGATGAGTTCGAGCGCGCCATCAAACAGCCATTATATTGGCCGTGGCGAATCGGTGTACAAAACAAGTGTGACCCGATGGTGTCACGCTGACTTCGTACACCGCCCTGCTGCGGAACTTTTCATTTTCCCCTGCGTTCACCGACTGTCGTCGACGAAGATCTCGTTTCGGACCCTAGAGACACGCGCTCAACCGCAACTCGTGGTCCGGCGAGGTCCTCCGTAGGTCTTCCTGCGAACCCGCGCGTGGTGCACACGCGATGGCGATGAGTTGAAGATGATATCAAGCGTAGTTTTTTTTATGATTTTACAGAAAATCACGGGGGTTGCTGTGTTACGAATTATTCTAGCATATAAATATATAAACGCGCACATTATCAATTATTTATTTGTCAACCATGTATCGTTAATTCGATTACGACATTGCGCGTGTCATTTGGCTGCCATCAGCGAGACTAATAAAACTGTCAGAAGTACGTGGTAAACGCTTGCCGACGGCGTTCAAGAATTCAGTCTGTAACAAAAGGGATCCGTACGAAATGTATTCGCCGTCGCATCCGTCGAATGACTTACCAAACTGACTCATATCGATCGCGCAGCGAGTGAAACTCGGAGCGGCCACTTAGTCACGAGATTAGCTCGTCCCGAAATTCCCCGTGTCACCGTGCCCCTTCCTCCCTCCCTCCCTCACATTCTCCACCCTCGGGCCCCGCTTGATCGGGGCGACGCACGGTTCTAAAAGAGAAAATGACAGAAACACAGACGAATAAGCGAAAAGAGAGGAGAGAGCGGATCAAGCAAGAGGGAGAGAGGAAAGGAGAGGAGAAGTCGGCCGCTCTCGAAGGCAGGCCGCGGGAGCACAATGTTCGTCAAGCGGACAATGGGGTCGGGTCCCTCCTCGGCTGGTGGACCGGAGATCCCGGCGGGCCGGGTATATATCGATACTAATCGATATGCGTGCACATCGACGCGCGGGCGCGCGCATTCGATCGATCGCTCGCTCGCTCGCTCGTGTGCACGTGTGTGTATGTATTCGACGCGGGACTCGATTAGTCTCCGCATTGTGGCCGCCGTCAATGTCTATGGGCGAGCGGTGGGCTTGAATGCGCGTAAGCTTGGGCCATCTCGTGTGCATGTAAAATATACGCGCGCGTACACACAAGCACACACGCGCGGTTGAGATCGGAGGAAACCTACGCAGAGAAGAACGAACGTGTGTCATTGTTAGCCATCTGAGGCCCTAAGTGATTCCTGACACGTTGTCCGTGAAAATGCTTCCAGAAGAGAATGGAAGAGAAAGAGGAGAGAGAGAGAGAGAGAGAGAGAGAGAGAGAGAGAGACGATGCGGCCGGGCCCTAGGCGGACGCTGCTTTCGAGCCGCGCGAGATCGATCGCTATTAACGGCTCCGGCTTTTTGTTTCGAGTTCCAAGCTACGAGAGAGCGAGGAAGAGAGGAATCCCGGCCGAAGCGATAAACGCGAAAGATCGCGGTGTGGTCTTCTCTCGCTGCGCGACTCTCGTCTCCTTGTCGTTGAATTCGTTGTCCCTTTTCGAAGCAACGCGTCACGTTGACGATTACGTCTTTGACGGCGGTTGGTCCGAGCATACGCGTTCACTAAATAAACGCTAATTAGGAATACGAATGAATTATTTAATTAGAAAAAAGCGGTCTCTTCTTTAAGTTCTAAGATTTTACCGCTCAGTTTTGTTTCTTTTTATTGGCGTCCAAAAAAATCGACACGTGTACGGTGTTTACCGCAATTCTGGCTGATGTTGGTCTACGCCTGTCATCTTCAGCGGACGCGGTATCGAGAAAAGGAAAAAACGAGAAAAAAAGAGCCCCGCACACATATGTAGAAGCGCGTCTGCCGGGAATTCGAAATCCTCAAAGAAGAATGATGCGTCAAAATATGTCGAAAAAATGTCAAAACGTACGTCGGAGATGGAAGAAGGCAGACGCGGATCGAATCTCGAGACGATCCCTTTTGAAAATACTAGGACTAGCTTTTTTTTTGTTCGGGATTGAGGTTTTTCTGGGAAAACAGCGCGTAAGTTAAGCATTCATCGAGAGTTTCTATTTTTTGTTTTTTAAATTTATTTTCGCATTTGCTCGCGCCCGCGTTGAATGCAAGGAAAAAGTCACATTTCCGCGTTAATCGTATCGACAGGTTTGGTCGATGAAAAATGCTGTTCGTTGAGCTCTCGCTCACAAACGAACGAGCTACAAGGTACAAATAGGAATTGTAAGTTTTTTATATTTGAAAAGGAGAATCTTCGTGTTGTTTCTTCGTTTATCATGTATCGCGACGATAACTTGAACTGTGAATCGATACTTTGTACGATAGCACGATTTAAACCGCAGTTGTCATCGGTTTAATCGGGACTGCGACATCTGCCGGGGGTTGCCGGTAATAGAATTCCGTAACTTATCCAGCGCGACTTACAATACGATCGCTCTCGGCGGCATCGTACATACATCAGATATAAAAATCCGCAGATTTGCTCGACGGCATCAATTTCTCTTTGACACGTACTTCGGGATATTGGAAAAATGTGTCTTCCCTCCGCGCGATCGGAGGGATCTACGGGATCGAGAGGGTCGATCCGCGTGGGACGTGCGATGACTCGCGTACGCGAAGAATTCCATTCGAAGAGGGATGGAAGGAGCAGAGCAATCGAAAAGTCTGCAGGAACGAAAAATAAAAGTTCGTCCAATCGTCACCGCTCTGCGCTGCACCACGTCGTCGCCACGACGACGACGACGACGACGACGACGACGACGACGTCCGCTCCCGTCCCCTTTTCGCTACACTTTTATCCCAGCCGACGGCGGCAGATCCTTTCGCCGACGTAGACGAAGTTGAAGACGAGAAGAACCCGAAAATGAAACTGTCACTCCGCTCTTGCGGCTATCTTCTTCCTGAACTTCTCCACCTACCAAACCGCGAGAGAAAGCTTCGCTGATCTCTCCTCTCACTGGCTTCTCGCACGGATTTACTTTCCTATTTCCGCCGAGCCGTTTGTTGCGACGAGACTTCGCTTTAGATACATACCTATATATATATATATATAAAGCGCGCTAAATCGCCAACGGCTTCAGCTTCCAGAATTATTTCGCTAACAGCGAATGTATCGCGATAAAACTTTCGCGATCGATCTCGCGAACATTATAAGGCGGTGCGACTCCGATGGGAGACCGAGTCCTATCTTACAAAGTGCGCAAACACACAGGACCAATTTAACTGTAAAGTCCGCACTTTGCGAACAGCAAGCGCAAGAAAATTTCTGATACGAACACCCTGTAGATAGCGAAATAGCCGTTCCACATTATATAGGGTGGTTCCGTATGCAAATAAGGCTTCTCTTTCTGTCCGTTCCTCGTGCTCCACCCCCGTCCTCGGGCGTCCATTGTATGTGCCGCGGCCCCGTGGAACGCGCGCACACAGGCGCGTGAATCGCGCGCGCACGAAACGTCGTGCATCGAAGCGCACACGTGAACACGTAGCGGTCGCTACAAGTATATTAATAATAATATACGCGGTGGCTCGGGGATCCGATATAATTATAGTCCGGACGCGGGCAGATAGCATCGACGAAGATTACGCCGGCTACTCTCCGTGCGGGACAAACCGTTGTAGAGCACCTTTATACTTATCGAGCCGCGAGCATTAGAGTGCATTCACTTCACGACGCCGGTCCAAGTAAACGGGAATGCGCGTCGTGAACGACGCTGGATAACCTATCGAGGCCTCCTGTTATCCTCGCTGACAATTTCAATGTGGTTGAAGAGCGACGATCGGCGAAGTTGTGAATTTTTAACAAAAAATCAG